ATTCAAGGGCATTGATGAAAAATTTAGAAGACCCTTGTGCTTTCTGAATTACAATTCTCTGTTCCAAATAATGGTGCCTTGTTGACCATCTGTCACGTTGCTCTTTACTGTTCTGCAGGGATTGTACATTTCCCGATAAAAGATCCAGCTAGGTAGGTCAAGTTTCATACATCTCTGCATGGTAATTAGATAAAATCAAAGTTCAGGTCAAGTCCCTATATTAGTACAGTTTTGGGTTAGAGTAAAATGACTACCGTAGTGAGGAATGAAGCCAATTTACGACTGTCACTCAGAATGATTGATGTTTGGTATGTTTGGCCTATTGCTGCCACTTGTACTCTTTTGAAATGATAGGCAATTAGCTTATTGTCTCATCATGATTATGACTGTTTATCTCTGAAAAACTAAATGGTCTTTCCATCTTTAAGAATACACGAGGTTACATTTTCTATTAACTTCCCATGATTATTTCAGTTATCACAACACCATTCATCTTAATTATCATTCTTAACTCAAATGTCACATTGCATGCAATCAAAGTATAATACCAATTAAATATCAATAATGGCATACAAAGTCACACATTTTCAATACTAATGAATGAATGATGAAATTAGCATTTAAAAAATAGCATGTGTTGGGAAATTTTTGCCACAGCATGACAGCCCAATCTTCATTCTCTTGAATATGGCTATCAACTGGGAGCTCAACAGCATTGAAAATACTCTTTATTGACAGACGTTAAGTGATCAAACTCAAAGAACTGGCAGAAAAGCACTTTGCCTTGTTAATTTATTTATAAATCTACTTTGCAATGTAATTTTCAATTATTAAAAGAAGCACCCTTTATTTGAAATAGAACAAAAGCAGCCAGCTAGTTTTTAGGGGCTAACTAACTGCAGAATAATAATCTGCTGAAGTAATGTTTAAAGAGTTTTGGGTGTGTATAATATATGATAGAATTTGAGAAATTCTCAGTGGTGGCTTCATGTCAACTAGATTTATCAATCCAGGATGTTTGTACACCCGATAAGAATGCAGGACTATCCAGGCACATATTCTCTGGTTAAGTACTGAAAACAAAAAAAATGCTGGAGATCATAATGGTTCAGGCAGCATCCATGGAGACAGAGCAAACTAGATGATTCTTTAGAGTCTAGATGACTCTTCATCAGACCTGCTGTGATCTCTAGCATTTTCTGTTTTCAATACAGATTCTAGCATCTCCAATAATTTGTTCCTTCTCTGGTTAAGTATCTGGCTAGTAGCTGATAGGAGGTTATGATGTTAAAATTTATTCATTCATACGACGTGGGCATCCCTGGTAAATCCAACATTTATTCCTCATCCTTAATTGCTCTCAAGAAGATGATGTTGAATTGATAGAGATAATCACATACAGTAGAGCATAGAAACTTCCCAGGGCCTGTGTGATGTGGGCTATGATGAAAAATTTGGGAAAATTGGATGAGATGTCAAGCAAGGTCCTCCTCAATATTGAGAACGAAAACTCACACGTTCCAACTAAATTCCAGATGTTGAGAGGAGATTCTCACTAGTGAAGAGCAGGGATTATTGCTCATTATCATCTACATTATTACTTAATCTCACCTCATTAACACGCAGTCACCGATTTAACTGACTGCCAAACAGAAAATAGATGCTGAGAATTCTTGACAGCATGTACCTGGTAGCTCCAGCTCACCACTTGCTCTTCTGGATCTCCATCCTGGACAGTTGGTACCAGCATCTGATAGCAATATCATCTGCTCCATGGGCAGTGAATGCATGCACCCAACGTCCGTGGACATTGGCGTTCCAACATGTACCAGCTTCACCACACCCTCATGACACATGACAGATCCACATATAGCATTCATCAGAACTTTAATACAACACTTTGAAATGCACTGGCACCCAACATTGCAAAGCTACTTCAAGGACGCTATACCCGACAACAGACACCCAGATCATGGATTGGATCAGGCTGCATTTCAGGGCTGCTAGCTCACTTTCTTAGAGTTCACTCATCTTGAGCCTACTTGAATGCTCACAGCATCTCTGCTTTGCCTTGCCCTTTTGTGCATTGCTCCCTTAGCCAGAGCTAAAAGGCTCACTTTATTTCAGCCTTGCCTTGCTTTTTAGTACAGACACAAGACCAAGAATCTTGTCATAATCGTCAGTAGTGATCAGTCAAAGGGGTGGACATACATAGCAAACGTAACATGCTTCAACCAAATGGCCACTTTCAACGTCTAAGGGAAGTGTTCCTTATTCATGTCAAGTTCAGTTAGGGGGTCATGGTACAGTAAGTCAAGGACAACTTCTGAAATCAATCCAGGTGCTTGAGCAAGGGAAGTTGGCCATTCAGGGTGGTCAGTGCAGGCTCCTCTCCTTGAAAGGGGTAAGAAGCCAAATGTTAGTCACCACAATACCTGTCTTGGCTCTTTCTGTCCTTTTGTGGGGTGTTTTCCCCTGAAATGAGAAACAGGGAGAAATTATGTAAGATGAAAGGAGATGGCACAACTATTAATTCTGGTGCAGGTGAGGGAAAAGTGGTGAAGTTTTCTGAGAAAGTGAGTAGGCAGTGTGGAGGTTCAGTTCATGGTGTGGAGGTTTGAGGTGGGAAGTAGCAAGTGAAGTACGTTACATGCAATTGTGAGCGTGGTAGTGCATGAATCTTTGTAGGAAGTGGGTGTAGAAGCAGAGACAGAGTGAGTGTGAGGTAGTACTTACTGTGACAGGACAATGCAGATCATTGACTTCCTACACTGATGGGTGTTCTTTCAGACAGATAATGCAGCACTGACCTGGGTTGCAATCTCACACTAAGCTGGCAGGTTCTGGAGACATGGCCTCCTCTAGTGGTCCTTGTGAGGAGGAGGGTGGCGGTGGAGGAGATAGGGTGAAGCAGATAGACCTCTACTGCATCATCCTGTCAAATCAGGACATCCAGGTCCCTGTCTGCAAAGCAGGGCATCAATTTTCCCCTGATGCACTACGTTTGAACAAATGTCACAAACCATGCAGGACTGACAGAAACTGACTGAGTTCACAACAGTTTTTTTAAAGATGGCACCATCGCCAGGGGATCCTGGGATATCGCAACAGTGGGAAATACTTCTGCCTATGGCGAATTGGGAGAATTAGGCTGGCATTAGACAACAGGGGTACCACAGGGACATGGTTTTTAGTTAATGAGGCAAGCTTAGGACAATCACATCAGTAAACACACCTAGCGGAGAGAAGCCCTCAATGAAACTCGACAAAATTGATAATTAGCCAATTCCTGTCAAGATTCAGCCTATAGTAAACAAATACATCATGAAATACAAAGACTCATCAGCATTAGGAATGAAAGTTAAGAAGTTTTAGCACATCATTCATCCCACCATGACTTTTCAAACGCTAGTTCCTCACCAAATGATCAAAGTATAAATTGTAAAAATCAAAGACTCCTGAACTATATCTGACCCTTCGATCCAATATAAATTTGGAGGTTTTTTTTCCAGGATCCCAGGTTACCATTTAAGAAAGGCAACAGGACTCCTACTATGCTCATCAGGCGTCACAAGACCAGAAGACAAAGGAGTTGATGTAGGCCATTCAGCCCATTGAGTCTGCTATGCCATTTAATGAGATCATAGCTGAAGTAATAATCCTCAATTCCACTTTCCTGCCTTAATCTCATATCTCTTGGTTCATTCCCTTACTGATAAAAACTGTAACTGAAAAGCTGTACCTAGGCACCTTTTTTGCTAGATTTTGTGATTTATGCATGAGGATCCCCAAATCCCTCTGTGTGGTAGCTTTTTTGCAATATTTTTCTATTTAATTATTATTTAATTCCTCTCTTTCTCCTGCCAAAGTGCATAACCTCACATTTTCCATTATTTTCCATCTTCCACGAAGAGTCATACTAGACTCAAAACATTAATTCTGTTTCTCGCTCCATAGATGTTAACAGACCTACTGAGTTTTTCCAGAATTTTCTCTGCTTTAGATTTCCAGCATCTGCATTATTTTGCTTTTATGCAACTCAGAGAGGTCGGTAGCCCCCAATTAAGTGTAAAGTGAGTGAGCAATGTGAAATGAAGCTAAGGGCCAAAAGATGCATCTTTTGTAGATGTATAAGCTGGCTGTTTGTCCTAGTGCATAACATGACCTGACAGAAGCAAACAAGCCAAAAGATGTCACTGAGATCCAGGGCAGAAATGGATTCTGAGTTGGTTTGAGATCAACCATGGCTTTTGGTTTGCGGATGCTGACTTCGGTAGCCTAATGGTACAGGAAGGTGCTGTTGCTGGAGTTTTCAAGGACACATTGGTGAAGGGGCATTAAAGTAGAGACCAATAAAGACAAGTGACTATCTGCGTCAGCCAAGTGACCGTTCTGACTTTCAAGTCAGGAATTGTCTGCATTTAGTTTCTTGGCGGGGAGAAAATTCAAACATTTTCTCTTGAGTTCAAGGCACAGATTTATTCAATTTTGTGATATTTTTCCACATTTGTTGCCATTGCCCAAGAACTGAGAAAAGTCTACCCTAAGGTTTAAGTCCTTATTCAGTTGCTAATTGTTTTTTCTGCAATCAATTTGCTACTCTAAATTTTGAATCCTTCCTTCCCCAACTGCTTCAGTACTCCTGGTTGCCAAGAAAGGAATGATGTTTCTGCTCCCCAGTATTGTCAAAGTGTAAATGATGCTTATACATCTGTTGTTAATATTTAATTTGAATACACCCACTTAACAGCAGGACAACCTGCCTAATGTTCTTCCCTCACTTGCCTGCTCAGAAACCACCCCTAACTTGCATACATGCTCATAGAATTTGTTTTGTCATGTCTTAAATTGAACAGCCTTATGTAATGAAATACGACCGGATAAGCAAACTAAAAGGCTACTTCCCAGGATCATAAATCTGGGCCTTCAGCTAACAGTGAAATTGTTTGATCCCTTCCATTAGGACTAATTTAAAAGCAAATTTAATATGGAACACTTACCTCAATACATGAGCTGATCCATTGATTGTTGTCGCGGAGCATGGTATTGTCTGCCCCAGCAGAGACGATCGTCTGTATCGATCACCGCAGCACAAAATTCTCAGGAAGGCACGCCTAAAGGACTTGTTCAGATAAGCGTACAGAAATGGATTGAACCCTGAATTAATGTATCCAAGCCATAAGCAGGCTGTCCACAGTTGTTCTGGCACAGAGTAGTTTATAAATGGGTCCACAATGTTTGTGATGAAAAATGGAGCCCAGCAGAGACAAAAACATCCCATAATAATACACAAGGTTTTAGCTGCTTTTGTTTCAGTTTTCATTCTGTGGTTGCCTGAATGGTCGGCTTGTTGCCCAGAATCTGTTGAAGTTCCTGCACGTTTTAACATTTCAATTTGTCGTGCATGCTCTCTGGCTGTCACATATATCCTTTGGTATGCCAGAACCATTAAGAGAAGAGGTACGTAAAATGCTACAACTGAACACGTTATGGCAAAGGGTTTGTTCACCATGAAAACACATTTTGTTATGTTTGTGTCATTACTTGATTTTCTTTCTTCTACCTGCAAAGGGAGAGAAAGATAAAACAAAGTCCTGCTATATCATGCATTTAAAAATAAACAAATATATCAAAACAAATACATTTCATTGGAAACATGTTGATTTATCACTTATCAATTTAAAAAATAAATATTTCACAGCCTTCATTCATTTGCTAAACTATTCAAGAAATAACAGATCTTCACGAATATTATTACAGCTGGAATCAGTAATTTTAGAACATACCATAAAAACTTTACATATGTAATTTCACAAAATTCAAGGGAATGGCTTTGTTGAACATGCAAAAAGAATTAAGAAAACTGACACTTTAAGCCAGAATTAAGTTATTCTCTTGGTAAGGTTTTAATTTTGTCTCTATGTTAGAAACAATAACTGTTCAATGTATACAGAAATAGAGCAGGTTTTCTCAACTCTATCCCTAGCTGTTGTAGAGAGCAAAATGTGACAATACTGTGGTTTGACAGGGTGTATTTTGTCCTGTTTTCTATCTGAAAGAGATATTTTGAGCCATAGGTGATGAGCTGTCTGGTCAAAGCCAATAAAATAAATAGCATGTGAGGCCACAGGTTCTTTTTTGAAAAGCTGGAACAATAGAAGTAACCAGGGTTTTAGTTTTGCTTTCAGCAATTGCTGGGGCTTTGAAGCTGATTGTGGAAGTTGCTACATCTTTCTCTCTGTCAGAGCATAAAGCTGGGGTTCTCTTTCTGCTGCCAGAATCGCATGTGTGACAATCTGTTTTGCTGAATTTGCCTTTGCCAAAGGTGTGTTTATGGAATGTTATTACATTGGAACAGTTACTGATCGGCAGATAAATAATCTATTATTCTGTTAAGTATTCCAATGAAGTTTAAGTTATAGCAATTCTTCCTTCTTTTGTTTGTATTTAAACTGGGGGTAAGAATAAGTGTGTTTTGCTTAAAGCTGGGTAGTGTGACCAATCAAATTACGTCTGGACCACAGCACCTTACACTTGCCTTTAAATAAGATAAATGTTGGGGTGTAGGCTATCTCCTTGATATATTTGCAGGATGTTTTGTCGAGTCCATAACAAAGGGTACAGTGAGTATGGGGAATTTTAATAGGTGTAGCTACTTTTCTGTGTTCATCTGTATTACATTCAAACGATTCAATACAACTCAAAGCAAGAACAAGAGCACCTTATAAACAAAGGAACACTTTCTATTTATGTACAAGCTTCATTTTTAACATGTTATTAAGAGGTGAGAAAAATCACATAGGTCAATGACCAGAAGGCGCCTTGCATCAATGCAACCATATCTAGTATGAAGACAATTCCTTCAAAAAGTTATGGTAGGGCAGAAAATAAACATATTTTGTGTCACATTGATGTTTTAAATCATCCTTTAACCAGAGTGAACTATGCAAAGAAAATGATGATCACAGGGAATATAGGGGATATAATTTCAAAGCTCAGAGGACTTGTCTTGCTATCCAGGTATAAATATAGTATTAAAGCAAGTACAGAGATAAAAATGAATACCAAGCTAAAGGAAATGTTAAGGAGAAGTGACTAAGGGCTTGATTGAAGAAGTGGATGTTAAGCAGGGTCTTAAAGGAATAAAGAAATGAAGAGGCATGTAAAGAGGGGATATAGGGCTTATGCAACCAGATGAACAATCATTGACTGTGGGGCAAAGAAAATGGAATGCACCAGGGGTTTGTGTAAGAGGAACAAGAGTTTTTGGAGCTTGGGAGGGTACAAAAGTAGATGAAGTTTAGCATCTTGATGACCTACATTCTCTGAACATATGAATTAGGAGCACAACTAGACCCCTAGTCTCCACCATTTGAAAAGCTGATGACAGCTCTGATTGTGGCCTCAACTCTACTTTCCTAACTATTCCCCTTACCTTGGACTCTCTTGTTTGCCAAAAACATATCTAACTCTGCCTTAAAAGTAAAACCATGACCCTGCCTGCACCACTCTAGCGAAGACAGTTCCATAGATTCATGACCTTCCAACAGAAAAAAGACACAATCTTCTCATCTCCATCTTAAATGGGAAACCCCATATTTTAAGATTGAGTTCTAGTCTCTCCTGTAAGTGGAAACATCCTTTCAGTATCAAGTTTCCACGGGATCTTATGTGTTTCAATGTGATTATCTCTCATTCTTCTAAACTCCAATGGATACAAGTCCAGCTTGCCTAGCATTTCCTCATAGTTAACCCTTTCATCTCAAGAATCAGTTGAGTGAATTTTTTCTGAAGGGCTTCCAATTCAGTTATGTCTTTTCTTAAGCTCAATCAAAACTGTACACAATACTACAGGTATCATGCCACAGATGCCCTCTAAAAGTGATGTAAAGCTTTTATATTTTTATATTGCATTGTCCTTACAATAAATTCAACATTCCATTTGTCTTCCATTCACAAGCTGTGACTCTATGTGACCTTTTTGTGATTCATATATCTGGGAAACTGAATCCCTCTGCACCACAGCATTCTTCAGTTTCTCTCCATTTAAATAATGTTCTGCTTCCTGTTCTGCCGGCCAAAGTTGACAAGCACACATTTTCTTCCATTATATCTCATATGCCAAATTTTTGTCCTTCACTTAACCTATCTACTTCACTTTTCAGACTCCTTACGTCCTCTTCACACCTACTCACCTACCTATCTTTGAGCCATCAGCAAACTTAGCAACCTTGCAAGTAGCTCAGGCCTCAGTACTAATCCCTTTGACACTCCACTCTTCAAATCTTGGCAAACCAGAACTAATCAGTTTGTGCCTAGTCTCTTGCCTGTTAGCTAACAAATCCTCTACTCATGTTAATATGTTGTTCCCAACACAATTAACTCTTACCTTATTTTCTGGAAGTTCAAGTACACCACATCTATATATATATATAACAGAAACTGTTATAGGTTCTCCTTTACCCACATTGCTAGTTACTTCCGTAAAGAACTTTAGTCAAACATGACTTCCCTTTCACAAAACCATGTTGGCTGTGTCCGATTACATTAATATTTTCTAAGTGTCCTGCTATAACCTCCTTAATAACAGCTTCTACCATTTTCATCATGACAGATATAACTAACTGGCCTGTAGTTTCCTCCTTCCATCCTATTTTGAAAGTATGTGTTATATTCACTGTTTCCCAATCTGATGTGCCTTTTCCAGACTCCATGAAATTTTGGAAAATTGAAACTAATGCATCTATCGTTTCAGTAGCCATTTCATTTATCCTGTCTTAAATTTAAATTAATCTGCCATTTCCTTATTTTCCATTATAAATTTCTTAGACTCAGAGTCTGGAGGACTAACATACACTTTAGTTACTCTTTTACTTTTTAATTCCTGTAGAAACTCTTTTTCAAATTGTCTTGATATGTCTCTCTCATACTTGACTTTCTCCATCCTTTTTTAACTCATTCTTTCTTTTTTTAAAATTTTTGATCCAATCTTCTACCCTGCCACTAATATTTGTAGAATTGTATGCTTTTTCTTTTAATTTGTTACAATTTTTAACTTCCCTAGTTGGCCATGTAGGCTGTATCCTTTTCTCAGAAGCTTTCTTTCTCAGTGGAATGTATCTTTTCAGCTTACTATTAAATGTCTCCTTAAACATCTGTCAATGCATCGCTACAGACCTGTTACTAAACCTAATTTCCTGGTTCAGCCAGATTTGTCTTCATATATTTATAATTGTCCTAATTTAAGTTTATAATGTTGTCTTTGCCCCACTCTCCTCTATCTCAAGTTGAATGCAAAATTCAATCATGTTATGATCACAGCTAGCTAGGGGCAGCTGCATACCTTAACGAAAGGACTGTTCAGTGACCACTGGAAGGTATATCAAAGCACATTGCCTTATTGAATGAATCAACATCAAATTAGTACATTTTTTATGTATGTCTGTAATCTTTTTGAATAACAAAATACGAATAATATTTTGTAGTTTATTATCACAACGTTCAAGTTGAACAGATGCAAACGTATTTTTTAACAACCCCCCTGTGTGAATGACATGCCTTCCCTTCACCTTATTCGACTGCCACTACATACAATAAGAGAACTAGTTTGGCAGGAGGCGATTAATTGCTTCCAAAACAGTCATGGATGGGACTCAGATGGGCCTTCTTTCATGGGGGCTTGCCTTTGACACTGAGCTACTCTGTTTGCATCTCTACAGCATGTTCAGAGCCACCACTGAGCTTCCGTTGGCATGGGTGCTCGGAGAGTGAAGATCTGGTATATGTAGCTTTTCAGAGAGATGGCAACAATTGTGGCTGGTGCTATTCCACTGGACTTTGGATTTTCTTTTTTAATGCTTGTTCATGTGATGTGTGTTTTACTTAAAGGGCAACCATTATTAATCAGCCCAAGTTCCCTTAAGACTGTGGTAGTGAATTGCATTCTTGAATGCATGGTGATATTCATGTAAGGAGCTCAAGGATTTTGACTCAACAATGAAGGAGCAGGAACAATTCAAGATGGTGTGTGGATTGGAGAGGAATTTGCAAATGTTGGTGCTCTCATGCAGTTCCTGCCTTTATCCTACGAGTTAGACAGCACAGTCATGGTAATGTTCAGAGAATCACCGAATTGAAGAAGGCCATTCTGCCCATCTTGCCCGCACAGCCTTGTTCGACAAGCATAAAATCGTGAAAACTTTAAAAATCAGTCATATGCATTACAGTCGTCATGATCGAAAAACCAATATGCAGAGTGCTGTCTCATTTCTTCTCAATACAAACAGATCTGCAGCTTGTGTTTCCATGGAGATACCAACTTGTCCCCGGCTGCTTCTAGGCAGGGAAGGCTGCTAGAAATTCCAATGAAGTTGCCAAATCATGCACAAATCAAAATAAAAAGCTTTCTTGTCTGCCATAAATGATATTGTAGGGTGGAACTTTCACTCCAGTGGATTTGTAAAACTCCTATTATCAATTTGGCTGCCCGATTAAAGATTGACTTTAATGGGAAGGAATATCAGATAGGAGCCAAAAGTTTTCATGCTGGGCCCAAACAACAATCTGGACTCAAAACTGCACTGGTTTTCAGAAGTGTATTTCACTCAAGTTTCTGCTGATTCAATTTCCAGATCACCGTTACTGCCACAAACTTGTGCAATCAGGCAGTGTTAAATTGCGCTTAAATTGCTTTTTAAATTTATTTAAGAATAGCAACCTGATGCTGCTTTATTAATAGTGCAGAAAATGGGTTTAACACAAAAATAAGCAGTTTTAATTAAAATTTACACTCTGTCATGTGTGAGTAGCCTAATTTTAAAAAGGTGAAAGAGTGTAGAACCATCATCTTTAGTTGTCTCCCTGATTTGAGGATCATTTTTACTCAGGAATGTGATTTTCTGTGTTGGATCTTCATGTGACTGAATAGGCTAATTCTCAATCTGCAAAGCTTTGGGTCATAGGCCCAGAAATCCCATTAGGCTATGTATTCTGGATCTGTTTCCTTTTCTTTCCTTCTCTGTCGCCATTTTGCCTCATCACTAAGGCCATTTGGAGTCAAAACATGATGCAGCTTAATGGGCAAGCTGTTGCCATTTTGAATGATGAGTGGCATATTCCTTCCAGTCATTAATGCCAATGCTACTGTGCTTCAGGGAAAGCTTCAGTGTGTCGTTGTATTGTTTTCTTTTCCTTCGCTGGAACTTTGGCCATTTGATAGTTGAGAGAACAGGAGCCAGCAGAGGAGATACCTATCAGCCATCCAGACAGTGTTCAGTACAACGCATAATTGGTGTTTCACATGTTTTGCCTGAATGCTTATACAGGTGGCTTCAAGAAGGACCAAGATGGTCCTTCAAGAGACTTCTCCAATTGAATAAAGATTACATGGAGACATAGCTTATTGGTCTAGCAGTCCTTGATGCACAATCCAGGGCTCGCTACACTACAGCAGTGTGGAGATGACAACTGCTCTGTACAATAGGACTTTTGTCGACGTGTCAAGGTCTTTGTTCTTAAACACTCTTTTCTATTGTTTGTAGAAGATTGAATCTTCTTATCTTGTAGCCTATTTCCTGTGGGTGGGGAAATCTTTCCAGTATCAGTGTGACATTGTACCTTCCAATGGAACCTCTGAATATATCAATGCATTATGGTCTAATCTTATCTCCTTCCTATCATCATACTCATTTTCCTTAGAATATTGAACATCACAAAACACTAGCTATGTCTTATGTTTATTCTTCTCATCTACATATTACTTTGCTTTTTTCAGCCTGTGCCTATTCCCTCGACCTACTGTTATGGATTTGCAGAATAGGAGTGAACAAGTAAGATGGATAAACATTACCCATTTGTTTATAAGGAAAGGGAATAGCAGATGGAAGCTCATGGCTGTAGGGCACATCGTAAGAATGCAAAGGATGTTGTAGATATTCAATCACTAATCTGGTACCAGAAATATATCCCTGACATCACCATCTTCCACTAGCTCAATGAACTTTACTTCCATATCCCTGAGGGGTAGAATGTAGATGAAAAATAGGATAATGTCAAGCGTAGAACCTTGGGAGATTTCAGAGGTAATTGTGAGAGTGTGGGAGAAGAAGCCATTACAGATGATTTTCTGACCACAGTTCAGACTTCAGGGAAGCAGTGATGCAGTGATAATGTAATTGGACTCATGATAATATCACTGGACTAGTAATTCATGAAAGCCATGTTAATGTTCTGGGGCCATAGGTTCAAATCCCATCATGGCAGTGGGTGAACTCAATAAAAGTCTGAAATAAAAAGCTTGTGTATTGGTGATCAAGAAACCATTGTTGATTGTTGTGATAACCCAACTGGTTCACTTACATACCTTAGGGAAAGAAATCTGCCATTGTTGCTGGTTAGGTCTATATATTTGTTCAGGTGCATGGCAATGTGGTTGACTCATAACTGCCCTGTGGGCCATTAGGGATGAACAATAAACACTGTGATGCCCTTATCTCATGAATGAATTTAAAAAGGAATAGAGTTTAGCAAGGGACAACACAGTATGGAGCTGGAGGAACACAGCAGGCCAGGCAACATCAGAGGAGCAAGAAGGGTGACGTTTCGGGCAAGGGCTGCCCAGTCTAACTGCACAGTCGAAAAGAGGTGTTTGAGGAAAATGGCGTGATTAATTGTGCTAAAAGCTACAGACTACCTGAGTAGGAGGAGGAGGGATAGATTACCATAAGCACAGTCACAAACGAGGTCTTTTGCTTCTTTGGTGCAGTAGGAGCAGAACCCTTCATATAAAATGGAAATATAGGCATGGATTTGGGAGACATCAAATCATTCAAGGACTTTGGACTAATTCCTTATAATTATCAAAAAGAGTTATTTTCCATGTATGACCCACTAATGTAACACACACCAAAATTCATTTTCTCTGAAGCCATACTAACTGGATGATTCACTGACCAGAATCTGCAATTTCTCTCAGTAAAAATTAGAACTTTAACCGCAGGAGGTATTCTGATGATAATCAGCATTTTGTGATGCTACTTTAGAGTCAACCGTTGCCAGCCCACTTATCTCCAGAGACAATGCATCAAATGTACAAAAGCATACACAGCTACTCTAGTAGAGTTCTTAGTGGGCTTCTTCAAGTTAACCTATAAAAGGACTCTCAATTTGGGCCAGGGAGAGAGGGAGAGTACTTTACACAATTGCACTGAACTTAATAAATGACAGTCAAGGATGTCACATTGGAAAGGAGAAAAACTCACACCACACAGAAAACAATTCATTTTAAAAGCACTGAGAGCCCATATTGCACCAGAAACAGCCTGCTTTTGTCCATTAACAACTTGCACAGAATAACAAGCAAAGTCCCAAATGTCATTGTTAACTTCTGACAAATCAGCTCATGTTGTCTCAAGAGTGGCGTTCAGTAAATACAGTGAGTGGCCAAGAGGCCTCTTGCATGGTCAAGAGATGAACGTCTTTCGCACCTCATAAAGCTTTCATTTGGCAAGATTTAAGTATACAGCCTGCACATTTGCTCTAGGCCTGACAAATGCAATATACAGGCTGTTTCCAGGAAAAGCAAAATACAAAAAAGAAGACCTTGGAAGGTATCCCGAGTATTTTACTTATAAATGAAAGTGCAATTAAACCCTAGTCAGAATGATCAATGCAATGGATTTCAGAAAAAAAGAGTAATTGTGATTTACTTTTGGAAAGATAACTTTCCAAAGATAAATTTCTTGCTTACCAGCAGTTTTGATTTACAGATGCTACCTATTCCCAGTCTGTGCTGGATACTGTGAATTTCACTGCATGTCCATATCACAATTTAATTTTTTTATGTTATAAAGCACTTACCAATTCCTGTATTCCAATGATATTCCAGCCCTGCATGATAGGTAGGAATGAAATAAAAGATGGGATAATCCAACAACCCCCGAGCATTATTGTAATACGCAGAGGTGTCATTTTGTTCCTGTAAACCAGAGGTTGACAACAGATAGCGTAGTACCTAGCAAACAAAATAAAAAAAGTCCACATTTTTAAATAATTCCTTTCTATTCTTCAAACAATATTCTCTCCTTGTTTTAATCCGATGGTTACTGCTTTAGATGTCTTCATTTCCTTCTTCTGCAATGTCTATATAGATCATTAATATGTCATGAACAAATATGGAAAATAATTTTAAAAGGCTCACGGAATGCTGGCCTCTCTGTCCAGGGGATTGGAATACAAAGGGTAGAATTTAATTTCAGCTATTCAAAACCATGGTTAGAACAAACTTGTATTACTGCCAGCAGCTCTGGGCATTATGCTTTAGAAGAATATTTTAGCTTTGAAGGGAGTGCAATATACATTTACCTGAATGATGCCTGGTTTCCAAGGATTAAATTATGAAGGGAGATGCACAAACTAGACTTGTAATCTTTGGAATTTATAATTCTAAGATATGGTTTGTTCAATTTTTTTCAGGATAACAGCCATGTGTATAGAAGCAATTTTCACTGTGGAGTCTCGGAGCAAAGGACATTGTTTAAAAATTGAACATAGATATTTCAGCAGTGAAATTAGGAAATACCCCGACACACAAAGGGTGGCAGAAATGGGAACACTTCTTTGCTACAAATAATTGGCGCTAGATAATTGTTAATTTTAAAACTGAGACTGATAGATTTTTGTTATCCAAAAGCATTGAGACAGAGGATACAAGTGGTACAGATGCTGAAGCTGAAAATGACCTCCTCCTGTTCCTATGCTCAGTTGAAGAATGGTTTATGTGTAGGCTCACCACTGTCAGTTTCATCTTTTTTCACAAAAGTTGGCAAGTGTTCCACTTTTACTTAGCAATGCCGAGGTCAGATAGGCGTGTTGTAGTTACTACAAAATCTGACAAACCATTTTTTAAGGTTGAAAATGAACATTTAGATAATAACACAATTTGCGATGTTTAGATGTCTCTATGTATTCTTTCTATATACACTTTGAGTCAATATAGTACAATGGCAAATGTCTATCTTTAATTCATTAAATCCAGCAGATCAGTCAAATCTTAATGAGCCACTTGAGCATAGAAGTTGATTTGAGGAACATCAGCACCTTCCATATATTGCTTTATCATTGCCTGTGCCACCAGGCTCAATATTCACCATCTTTTGCCACTCATTGGAAATTGTTACTGCAGTACTTACTAACTACAACATGCACATCACCAATTGTCGAAGCTCACCTTAATCTCATCTCCTATCCCGGTGGTCTGTACCACCAGGAATGTTGAAAACAACAGATTATGAAACAGGCATCAATGTACAATTCCCCTCCAAGTCACAGACCACCCTTACTTAGGTGCACATTTGCATCCTCTTATTAGGTTAAAATCCTGGAATGTACTATTTCATACATTTGTGAGTATTGTCAGCAAAATGGTTGCAATTTTAGAGGGAAAAGGCCTAGCATCATCTTCTCAGGCTTACAAGGAATAGGTCATTAAGCTGACTTTGCCAGAATTCTCCATATCCTAAGAAAAGGAAAGAAACAATACCCCTGAAAAAAAATTCCTTATGGCAAATGATATAGTCATAAAAATAAGCAGCACAAAAGCTCATTCAGCCCATTGTGGCTCTTTGATAAAGCTTTTCTATTAGTCCCACTCTTCTGCTTTTTTCTTCTGCAGCCCTGTGGATTTCTTTTCAATTAAGTACATATCAAATTTCCCTTTGAATAATACACTGAAACTACTGTACTTCCACCACTTCTTCATATAGTATTTTTCATATTTTAACACTAATTGGGCATATTTTTTTAAAAATGTCAAAAATATGATGGTAAATTAAGGAATCTGTGATTTTTGATTATTGTTTTGTATTTTAAGCTGTTTCTTATCAATACATCCATGAAATTTATGATATATCCTTACATTGATTCCTCCATGTTCACAGTCACCAAATTTAAAACAACATATTTTGCTCCAAGGCTTCGAAAATGACAAGGTTATCTCTGTAGCAATATTTTAAAAAGAGTGTGGAACATATATAACTAGTCTGTTGCCCTATGCTATTTTAAATAGAACACAGTGTACAAAAGTACATACCTATCTAAAGAAATACAGCACAGATGAAGAATAGACGCTGTGGTAAGCAGGACATCTAGTGAAGTTCGGACGAGACAAAATCTATCTCCGTATATCCAGTTTTGCTGTATTAGTTCGATAGCTCCGAAAGGCATTACCATGACTGAAACAAGCAGATCAGCAAATGCCAAAGAGACAATAAAGTAATTGGTCTTGATTTTCCTATGATAAATCAGAATATTAAAACAGGACTCATTAATAAAATTTCAGGAGAAATAGTAAAAATAGGTTCCAAGTAAATAAACTGTATACTTTTGAATTTTCATATAAACACAAGTATTGAGATGGCAAATATCTCTAAACTTAGTGCAGTCGCTAAATATATAATACAATATTTATCTCATGACTTAATAGCAGTGGAATGCCACAAGATCATACAGCAGCCTTAGACCAAGAGCAAAATCATGTAACATTTGCAAGTATCCCAATAGTGGGACTAAAAGTGAGCAGGACTTGCACTTGGAGTTGTGAATGCCAATGATCACCCATCCCTAGATGGATAGAAAATTAGCACAGTTGAGTGCACAGCTAAATATACAGCAGGGGCTGAGAAAATCTGTGTGGCATTCAACGCAGATGACCCTGACCTTTACAGGAAATCCAGAAAAGACCCGGTAAGGCCATTGGAGATGCCAAAAGGCAATACCAGGCTAAGCTAGAAACTCAAACTAACCATCCGGACACCTGCCATTTGTGGCAAGGCCTATGTGACATAATGGGCTACAAAGTGAAGCAGAACAGAACAGCAGACAAAAATACATCCCTCCCTGATCCATCCAATGCACTTTAAGCTCGTTTCGACACGGTGTCATCTGCCCGACTGCCTGGGATGAACCTGTTCTCTCAGTCACAGTTGCAGACATTAGATCAGCCTTCTTGAGAGTGAATCCACAGAAAGTGACTGGACCAGATGGAGTCCCTGCCCGTGCATTCAGATCCTACATACTAACTGGCGGAAGTATTCGCCGACATCTTCAACCTCTCCTTACTATGAGCTGAAGTCCCCACCTGCTTCAAGAAGACCACCAACATCCCAGTACCAAAGAAAAGTCATGCAGAGTGCCTCAACGACTGCTGAGCTGTATCTTATCAATACATCCATGAAATTTATGATATATCCTTACATTGATTCCTCCATGTTCAGAGTCACCAAATTTAAAACAACATATTTTGCTCCAAGGCTTCGAAAAT